CTTGACTAGCCCTCCAACCTATTGCTTGAGAGGAAGATGCTGTTAGGGCCTAAGGCAAGTCTTGGTACTCCCCTGGTTTAGTGAAGGTAGTAGTAAGGTCAACCTTGAACTGTGTGGGCCTAAAGACCTTGCTTTGATGTGAATGCTAGCACCAAAATCTCATCCTCTAGGGCTGCATTTTCCTTTCCCTTTGACATTTCTTTTTTTTAAGAATATTTAACTGAACCTAGTAGATGTGAATTAGGAGATGCTTCCCAAAGTTATTTCACCTCAGGATAGGGATCGGCAAAGTGGGGATGATCCTTTAATCTTTATTGGAGGATTCAGTGGAAAAACTAATGTCTGGGAAAGCACCTGGCACTTAGTGAACTCTCACTACTTCATTCCTGCTGTTTTACCTTTGAGGCCAAGCTGGGAATATATGAAATGTCTCAACTAACTTACATTTACATGAAAGAAAAAAATGAGCACCCACAATCACCCCATCAGACCAGGCTCCATCCTCAGGGCTGCAGAAGGGCATGCCTTTTCCATTCAAACTGTGGAGCTGTCACCTGGCCTGTGCTCTACCCCCCGCCCAGTTCAGAGCTGCTGGTTCAACCTGGTGTGCCCAGCCACAGGTCACAGGACCATGCTGCATGTGTGCTGCCAGGGGTTTCTAGGGCGTCATCCTGCCTTGGGTGCTGGGGTCACACAGTGAATTGCATGCCAGAGGGCTCTGGGCCCTCACAGGGAGTTGCATACCAGATGAACTGTGCACATGCCCCCGCCCACCATGAGAATCTGAAATGGACAACTGAGGGACCAGAGTCGGGGGAGAAAGGGGTACAGCTCAGAGCAGACAATAAAGGTGTGAAACTGAAGGTAGACCCAGCCTCCAGTCTAGTGAGTCCCAGATCATTGCACTGCTAGGGCCTTCAACCCCTTGGACCCCAAGGCCAGAAAGAGACAGCAAAAATGGGGGGACAAACCCCATTTAGGGAAACCCCCAAAGGAAAGAAAATGAGGAATCGCCAAAAAAGAAACTAAATAAAATGGAGGCAAGCAATATGTCAGAGAAAGAATTCAAAGTAAGGGTCATACACCTTAACTAGCTGGATGAGAAAATTACCAACATATGTAAGAACTAAGAGGAAATGAAGTGATCCATATCACTCATGGTTTGAGTGTGTGGTTGAGGATATTGTCTATGAGGAGCAAGAAGGGAGAAAGAAAAGTACCGATGACCTCAATTAAGGGGTCATGGCTAGAAATGCTGATTAGGGAATCTGGTTTGCCGTGTTCAAGTTAAAGGATCTCTGAGACAATTTTAAAAAAGTAGACTGTTCTCTATAATGCTGTCTATATTTTGCTTGGTAGTTCAGTTTGTTCATTAAATGCCACATATGAGTGAAATCATTTGGTACTTGTCTGTTGGTGGTGTTGGGGTGTGGTGTAGAGATGAAGTAAAAAAAGAAAAAAAAAACTAGAGAGAACCCACGGACATGGACAACAGTGTGGTGATTTTGGATGTATGAGGGGTTGGGTGAAGAAGGAAGAGGCCATAGAGGGGGTACATGGTGATGGAAAGAAAAAAAAAAAGAGAAGTCAGGTAGAAAAAAAGAAAATGAAAAGAAAAAAAAATGTGAACCTGGATGATGAACCTATGGAAGGTCAATATATTTTCTATCTTCTTTTGTTCCTGTTAGATATTTTCTATAATAAAAGGTGAAAAAAAGAAAAAAAGCCCTAACTGGTTTGGCTCAGAGGATAGAGCATCGGCCTGCGGACTGAAAGGTCCCACGTTCGATTCCAGTCAAGGGCATGTACCTTGGTTGCGGGCACATCCCCAGTAGGGGGTGTGCAGGAGGCAGCTGATCGATGTTTCTCTCTCATCGATGTTTCTAACTCTCTATCCATCTCCCTTCCTCTCTGTAAAAAAATCAATAAAATATATTAAAAAAAAAAAAAAAGAAAAAAAGAAGAAAAAAAGCTGTAGTGATAGTGTAGAGAAATTACTGACAGAATGACACATATTTCTGTATTTTTTGAAAGGATAGAGGAAAACTGTCAATTCTTTCAACATATCTTTGTTCTATGTTATATACTGGAATAACTGATAAGTAATCTTTCCCCTTATCTGACAACAGCTGTTTTCCCTAACTACATGTGAACTGAAGAGGGCACATCTTGGCACAAGGACCCAGGTCCTATGCACAATTTCATTTACCTTTACTAGCTTTCCAACCATTGACTTTTCTATTAACATACATTAATTCCAACAGATTTCTTTGGGACTTTGCATTGCTGAATGCAATATAAAGGAATTGTAATAAACACCACCAAGACCTAAAAACTTGGTCTCTGCTCTTGAAACATGAATTAAGAGATCAAAATACCTCAGATGTAACTAAATTGTGCTGTAAGCCTGAGTTCTTTCTTAAAAAGAATACTAAATGAATAAACTTAGGTGCCTTATTCACTGAGCACAAAAGATGTTACTAAATAAGGTACTTTAAATAGCTTTTTCCCCCTATTACCTCCACCTATTATTAATAATTTTTAGATCAGTTCTAGAAGTTAATCATATTAATGGAACTTATGTTTTGGGGGGTGGGGTGTGCAGACTCAAGGATATTTTTAGGAAGAGAAAAATTTTTGGTCTATTGATTAATCATAGTCCTTTATACCAGAGACCTGAAAATGTCCCTTTATCAAGACTTCATACTAGAAAAAGAGTTGGAAAATGGTGGTCAGGAAAACCTTTTCATTGGACAGATACCAGTCTGTACATAATTCTAAATCAACAAAAGTATTTTCATAAATTGGGATAGAATATTTAAATCCAAATCCCAGCTCTATCACTAGCTAGTTGGTTGATCTAGAGCAGGGGTCCTCAAACTTTTTAACAGGGGGCCAGTTCACTGTCCCTCAGACCGTTGGAGGGCCGGACTATAGTTTAAAAAAAAACTATGAACAAATTCCTATGCACACTGCACATATCTTATTTTGAAGTAAAAAAACAAAACTTCAAAAAAAAAAAGGCTCTCCTAACTTCAAAAAAAAGGCCCTACTAACTGCAAAATAAAAAAAAAAATAGACCTCCTAACTTCAAAAAAAAAATAAATCCTAACTTGTTCTTACCTCGGTCCTCAGGCAGCAGCAGGCTCTGCACAGGCAAGCTCGTGACTCCTCCGATCACACCCGAGACTGAGAGGAGGAGTCAAAAGACAGAGAGAAGGAGGGGAGTCGGAGAGTGCGGCGCACATTCCACACATGCGCACTGCGGGCCCGGGGAGTCGGCTGCTAAGCAACAGGCAGCGGCAAAAACACCCAGCTGGCCGGATAAATGTTTTCTGCGGGCCGCAGTTTGAGGACCCCTGATCTGGAGCTAGTCACAGTTAATCTCTTTGTACCTAGTTTGCTAGTCTTTGATACCTACACCTCAGGATTACTAAGTCTGAGATGCAATGTATGTCAGAATTCTTAGAATAGTGCCTTGTACAGTGTCATTGTTAAAGAGGAATTTTGTCACAAATGTATTTAAATTTTAACATGAATCCACCTTCATACCTAAACAAATAACTTAATTCTAGCCTCCTGCCATACCATTTATAAAATTTGTGTTGAGTTAAGGAAAAAAAACAACAACAAGAAAAACACCTGGTACGGAGCCCAATTCCCACTTCATGGATGTGAAATGCCCAGGATGCTGTAAAATCACCACCGGCTTTAGCCATGCACAAACAGTTTTGTGTGTTAGCTGCTGCACTGTCCTCATTAGCCTAAGCTGTTCCTAAGCTGAAGGAAAAAACTATGAGTAATTCAGAGACCGTTCCCAAGAATTTTCTCCAATGAAATGCAGACTAGGTGAGTTGCATGCATTGATTTAAGAGTCAGAGTTGACTCCTTGCCAAGTAAGATATAATCTATATATAAAAAAGGCTAATATGCAGTGTCCCCTCGGGAGTTCAATCACTCGCTATGACATGTGCTGACCACTAGGGGGCGGCACAAAACAAAGGAACGCCCCAGATGGCAGGCCTGTGCACGAATTTTCTTCAATAATTTCCCATCGATACTTGAAATGTTTCAGTTTAAAATAGGGAAAGGAAAACAGGTTAAGCATAAAAATAGATTTCAAAGCAGTATCCAAATAACATGTAATGAAGTAAGAGGGAAGACTCATTGCTACTGTGTATTAACTATCAGCGTCACTTCACTCACTGGACTATATGTCTATAGAAAGTATAATTTTAGAGCTGAATATAAAAGCATCACACATTTAAAATGACCAAAAAGTATCTTTAAATAAAGTACCTTTCCCCCCGTTTTGGCCATTAATTCCAGTGAGTGAACTCTCACTTGTATCAAAATACTTAAGGCCATACACTTACCCCCAAATTTGCCAACTAATAACTTTAAAAGAAACGATCAGCACTTATCCTTCCAGTGTTAAACTTTGCTTACTAAAAGCTATAGATATTGCCATCTTACAGTCTTCTAATAGAGAAGCAGCTCTGAGCTTACTATACTAGTAGGAATATGACAAGAAAACTCTTGGGATTACTGAAATAGCTGTTTTAACTACTAGAAAGACTACACAGGTGGTTCAACAGAATTTACTTGTATATTTTCCATTTTCTATCCTACTTGAAGGCATAGGATAGCTTTGTATTAGCTTTCTACAATACCATGTTTTAAATGTAAACTAGATGCAGTACAACTTTTATACAACTTAGGAGATTAAAAAATGTCTGCCTTGCTCGTCCACTGAAATTCTTATTCATTGCTAATAGTGGGGTATGGATGTTTGGTAAATGCTTATGGTTTTACTTTCTTCATTATCAAAAGTCTTTTAAAGTGCTATCAAGCAGCAAATAAGTTGCATCAGCTCTCTGCTCATTAAAGGTAAAGGTGCTAATTCCTCATGGTAGAGGTGTAAATTGTGAACTCACAAGAGGCACAGTTTAACAGTAAGTAGAGCATGAAGAAACAGTAAAAGTGGCCTAAGTACAGAGTTGGACAGAACAAACCAATTTATAATTGCTCAATTGAAAGCAATACAGGTGCATTCAAAAATGAAGTTTGAGATTATAAGTATTTAGAATCAAATTTGAAGAATTTTTTGATAAAATATAAATCTGTTCTTTTGAAATTGGAAATGAAACTATCAATTGAGAGCTAGAGACTTATTAAACCCTCCTACATAGATAAGGAAATAAGTGACAAAGTCTCTTGAAGTTATGTATTTTAACAGCTTTACATGTAATATTCATATATAAAAAACTTTAAGTGCTTTTCTCCAATTTAAAAATCTAAAGAATTCAAAAATAAGGCATTCAATATTTGAAAAAAGTACAGATTTACAAAATGTGTATATTCTGTCATGAAAACTCCACACCAACATTATACACTTGGAAAAAAATACAAACAGGATATATTACAAATCTATGTAAGCAATAACTTAGTTCACACCATGTAATAAAAAGTGCATTAATCAAGATACACAAGCTTTTATAGGTTCTAAACTGAAGGACTTTTCTTCTGCAGAATCCTTAAAACTGGTGGCACTTAAAATTTGTTAGCCTTTCTACTGAGAGGTAAATTATACACAACAATGATGAAAAAGATTAACAGACCAGTTGTCTATTATGAATCATTCCAGCTTTGTTCAACAATGGCTGAAACTCTTTTCTCATATTCTCGTTTGTTTTCCTGATAAAGTTGTGCTGCCTGGCTATTAGCTGGACTGTTTGGATTTGGTTCATCCAGCAGAGACTAAAAGGAAAGAGAGAGAAAAAAATAGAGTTGCAGAGTTGTTCTTTGCATTAACAGGGGTCAGATAAGGAGCACAGAAGTTATATAAAATGGCAGAAATTAGTATGTCTTACATATTTTTAGGTCTAAATAATTTCAGAAATGGCTTGATAAATACAGTGAGAAGATTCCTACTGCTAGAGAAAAGCTTCTAAAACAGATCACTCTCAATTGCCTTAAGACCTTTGGAATAAATTGGAAAAGAATATCTTCTTTAGCCTACTAACATTAAAATAGGAAGTGAGCAGTTTGATTTGCAGATTTGGTTAATATACAACACCTATAAATAGCTTAGTAACAAACCTTTTCCAACATTAAGCTCTATTATTGTAGTTATTTGGCAAATGTCTCACTATAAGTTAGATAATCTTGTTTCCTTTAATCAATAAAACATATCTAGCAGCAAAGGGATGAAATAGGAAGGTTAAAAACAACGTTTATAAGATGATCCCAATTAAAGCAAAGCTTTAAAAAGGTCATAAACCAAAACATTACTTCTGCTCCTCTCAAATCCACATAACTAAAACATACCTCTTTCCACCCCTCCAGAAAACTGTCATTCAAGGTCCACTGTGAAATATTCTGCCAGAGTGCTTTGGCAAATAGTTACGCTACTTTCTTTTACATATATACTAGAGGCCCGGTGCACAAAATTTGTGTGTGGGGGGGTGGAGGGTCCCCTCAGCAGGGCCTGCACCCTCTCCAATCCAGGACCCCTTGGGGGATGTCTGACTGCAGTCAGACATTCCTCTTGCAATCCAGGACCACTGGCTCCTAACCACTCACCTGCCTGCCTGCCTGATCACCCCTAACCACTCTGCCTGCCAGCCTGATCACCCCTAACTGCTCTCCTCTGCCGGCCTGACTGTCCCTAACCACTCTCCCCTACCGGCCTGATCGCCCCTAACCGCCTCTGCCTCGGCCCCCACCACCATGGCTTTGTCCGGAAGGACATCTGGAAGGATGTCTGCAAGACTTCCAGTCTAATTAGCATATTACCCTTTTATTAGTATAGACAATTTCTTGGATGGGGCAGTATTCTCAATTCTCTGCACTTGGCAGTTTCTTGAGGTCCCTATGGTTTTTTTTAAGCAATCATCTTTTATCTTTCCCTGAGATTTTTTTATTCTTCTCCACAACCTCTGGCTATACTTCATGGGCACAAATACTTGGCCTGTGAGAACATTAACTTACACATAAACAGGAAAATAATTGTGGATTTGATCTAAGGTGGTCACTAATGAAAAAGGAGACCAGACGTCTGAAAATCATGGGTTTTTTGTCTGAGCTCTGCCACTGGTTATCTCAGTGCTGGGAAACTTAATTTGCTCACTCGGTCTTTAGATTATGCCTAAAAGAGCTGATTGGATACCACAGAGTCTTGAAAAATTATGATGCATCTTAATACACACTTACCTGAATTGAGGTTAAAATAGAAGACACATCATATGTTGGACTCCATCGATTCTGAAGGATATCTAAACATATGCTACCATCAGCATACACTGCAAAGACAACACTAAAACTGGTTACATATTAACTTTGTCATATCTATTAAGAGAAAGCTTTACCACAAATAGAACGCTTGGCCCACACAGAAGTTTTGAAAATTAGGCAATAACTAAACCCCATTCTCACAGGAAAACGAGTCCTAAATAAGGTCTGTTATTTTGTACCTTCTCATGAGGAGGCTGGGTGGGAGTTAAAACTTTTTCAACATCTCATATAGTAAATCTGTTTAAATTCCCTATTTCTAAATATTCTTAAATAAAGCTTTTTTTTGGGGGGGGGGAGTTTATTTATTTAAAAATATATATTTTATTGATTTCAAAGAGGAAGGGAGAGAGAGTGAGACAGAAACATCAATGATGAGAGAGAATCATTGATCAGCTGCCTCTGGCACATCCCACCCACACTGGGGATCGAGCCCACAACCCAGCCATGTGCCCAGACTGGTAACTGAACCTGGGACCCACCCTTCAGTCCACAGGCCGACACTCTAGCCACCGAGCCACACCGGCTAGGGCTAAAGTTTATTTTTTAACACAGCAATTTCACTCCCAGAAATTACTCTAAAAGAAATAATCATGAACTACAAAATTTTATTTACAAATGTTCACTATAACACTCTTTATAAGAGTGAAAAATTGGAAACCACCTTGTGGCCCATAAAGAGGGGACCTGCAATGCTACATTCATATAACCACTGCCACACTAGTCAACAGAAATGATAGACATCTACCCTATGTTAACTAATGTAGAAAGACATCCACAATATATTACCTTAATACTGTAATTTTCCAATTATTTATACAGGATAATATAATTCCATTTATAGTAAAAAATTATAACTATCTTCATTTGAGGTGTATGCAGTTGCAAAAACATTTGTAAGATTAAATGTCAAAATGTAACTAGCAGATAACTATGATAGTAGGATTATGAAAGATCTTGTTTTATCTTTTCTTGTATTTTGTGATGTTTTTGCACTGAGTATACATTCCTTTTATAATTAAAAAATAAAAGTAATTAACAAGTTTTAGAAGTCTTTAGAGCAAGCCAGATCACTCTACATAAAAACAGCAATGCAGCTTTTGGGGGCAGGGGGAGAAGACGAGGCAAAGTATGCTTAAATGCTGTCATACCACAGGGCTCTATCCTTCTTACCCATTACTATCCATGTGCTAGGTACTTCCAACTGTTAGCTTTAGACCAGATCCTAAAACTCAGCTTAAAAACAAGTCAATTTACTTACTATAAATCCAAAGGAACATCAGAAAGGGTTCTAAAATTGGCCCAGCCGCATGGCTCAGTGGTTGAGCACTGGCCTATGAACCAGAAGGTCATGGTTCGATTCCTGGTTAAGGGCACATGCCTGGGTTGCAGGCTCGATCCCCAGTAGGGGGCATGCAGGAGACAGCCAATCAATGATTCTCTCATCATTGATGTTTCTATCTCTCTCTCCCTCTCCCTTCCTCCCGGAATTCAATAAAAATTATTAAAACAAACACTGAACTGTATATTTTAAATGGGTAAAGAGCATGGTATCTCTCTATATAAAACCCTAATATGCAAATAGACTGAACGGCAGAACAACCAAACAGTCGCTATCATGTGCACGGACCACCAGGGGGCGCGAGTGGAACATGGTGGGCATTGGCTGCAGCGGGATGGTGGAGCAGGTGAGCGGGGATGCCAGACCAAGGTGGGGTGCCGGTCGCTGTCATCGGGGCAAGCCTCTGGTGGTTACTGAAAATTCTTTGCTCCCGTGCTCGCACCTGCTGCTGGCACCGGCCCTGCTCACACCTCAGCCTCGCAGTCCACAGTTCCTTTCAAGGTGCATGAATTCATGCACTGGGCCCCTAGTATGAATTATATTTCAATAAAGATGTTAATAAAGTAAACCAGGAAGTTAACAATAAAAAAGTACTGATAGCATAAAAAAGGGAGACGATGCTATTAATATTAAATGATCAAAAATAACAATATAGTTTCTCCATAAATCTATTAATCCTACACCTATACACATATACTCCCTGTGCATTCTACAGCCTATTCCACCTTGATTTACAGAGCCCCCTTACTATAATTTGGGTTGACTCAATATAAAGTCTAAGCCAGGATAAAGCAACAGCAGAGTAGTAAGCAACTTGGGAATTTCCCCAAAACAGAAACAAAACATTCAATTAAACCTGTCTTGGCTTTAAAAGAAAAAAAATGGCAGCTGGAAGGAAAAAGCAAAAGAAATTAAATCTATTATTGGGAAGTCACACTGGTTCCACGTACACAAAAACACTCCTCTGAGTAGGGAGCTCTACCTGCCTATAGCCCACTCATGCAGTTTGCAGTACTAGACTACATGCAATCAGAAAGACTTCTGAATATGTGCCTTCTGAAAAGAAGTTAACTGATGGGGAAGATCACATTGAAATGAGCAAAAGGTTACAAAAAGAGAGCTTAAATATTTTGGAAAATAAGTCTTTCAGACAGTAATTTATAATCAGGAATATAAATATATTAAAAGTAAAGAGCACAAAGTCAGGAAAGGACAAATTTAACTACAAAAGGGTCCCTCAGCAATCATTTATGAAAAATAATAAAATAAACTTCTGAAAGTGAAAATAGGAATGAGAAAAAAAGAGTAAAACTATTTTAAAAAGCCTTAAAAATACACAAACCTTTGATCCAGTAATACCACTTCTAAAAACTTATTCTAAAGAAATATTCAGGCCCTAACTGGTTTGACTCAGTAGATAGAGCGTCAGCCTGCGGACTGAAAGGTCCCAGGTTCGATTCCGGTCAAGGGCATGCACCTGGGTTGCGGGCACAACCCCAGTAGGTGTGCAGGAAGCAGCTGATTGATGTTTCTCTCTCATCGATGTTTCTAACTCTCTATCCCTCTCCCTTCATCTCTGTAAAAAAATCAATAAAATATATTTAAAAAAAAAGAAAGAAAGAAATATTCAGGAGTATTTGAGATGATTTATTTTCAAGAATATCAAAAGTGCTGAAAACAACTGGACACTGATTAGATAAGTTATGGCAAACTCAGAACATTTTGTAGCCACTAAGAATGGTGTAGAAATATTTAATAAGGGAAAATGTTCATAGTATATAAAAAATTAGGTACTTAACTTTATTCAGAACATACCAATTTTGTACAAGCATTTATTTGTGTTTTTAAAAGCTAAATTTTAAGTGACAAATTCTTTTCAACATTTTTCACAGTTCTACAAATAGATATTACTTTAAAATCAGAAGTTATTAAAACAAAACAAATTTATCTCAAATTTGGAACCTTGGTAAGATTTGTGACTAATACTGATCTGGAAACAACATCTGGAAATGGGCCCTTGGAGTGAGAACTATGGGGTAAGACCTAGAAGGAAGGAAACAAGCCTTTCCCCCCTCCCCTTTATCATTTGCAAAGTCAAACAAAATTGCTACTTACCATTTGGATGAAACATTTTGGATAAAAACCTAACAGTTGGTGGTTTATTTGGATATTCTTCAGAAAATTCTATTACTAGTTTGAAAGTACCTAGATAGAAAACAAACCAAAATAATTATAGTACGGACAAGCATAACTTTTAAATCTCTTCATCAATGAATTTTCAGCCCATACTGGTTTTTGCACCATATAAAAATTCATGTGAATTTTGGTTTAGCATATGAAACAGTACTAATATACTTCAATTTATGTCAGAATGACCACACACATAGCATTGGCAAGCAGAGGAAACTAACACTTTCACATACTATTGGTGGGAATAACTGTTACATTTTTAAAAGGCAATTTGGTTCTAGCTACTAAATTTAAAATGCACATTTGGACAATTTATTATAGCTTAGAAGAGGGGAGGGTGCCCAGAGGATTTTTGAGTTGGTGACTACCACATACAATGGACTCAGATTGGAGACTCGGGAGCTAATGTAAAAGGTCTGTTCCTTCACTTAAATATGCCAAGAATCAGTACTGGTAAGCATAAGTGTAACTGCCTGCTATTGTTGGTTATAGACCACACAGTACATTTTGGTCAGTCTACATCAGTATTTTTTGGTCAATAGAAGCATAGGCATTTTTTTTAAATTATGCATTTTAACAAAGTAAATCTGTTCACAGTAAACAGAAAAGTTAAGAACTCTCAACTCCAATTCCAAATCCATTTCACAGAAATAACACTACTAGTGGTTTGGGGTTTGTTTTTTTAGACTTCTTTTGTGTTTATTCACTATCCAAAGTCCTTTTATTTTGAGGAAACTCACCTTAAAGGTGAGTAGATTAGAGAGGTCCTCCCTCTAACTACAACCCCTTGGAAAAACTTATTCCTAACGAAGTCAATGAAAGTTTAAACCATTCCATGTGTCTCTACACAGTTCTTTCCCTTATGTCACCAATGCCACTTTTTAAAAAAAAATTTAAAATAATCTACTAAAAAATAAAAATTTAAAAAATAATCTAAACAACAAAACCTTAACCAACCTAATTCTAAGCTCCTGGCTTCAGTTTACTAACGTAAGAGGCATGTATTTAGTAAAATATTTTATTCTTTATCTTCTTCACTACTCATATTTGATATTCAAACTCTACCTCTTCACAATTTTTTGTTTGGAAATTTGGAATTAGGGAGGTCAAAGATATAAGCAAAATAAAAGGTGGTATCTATTTCATATTTTGATAAATTAATAGAGGTACTATGAAATGTATAGTTAGTGAAGACAGCCTTATACCTATGTATTTTTAAAGTTTACATTTTAATTCTCTTTAATTACAAAAATGTACTATGTAAAAATTTCAAGTAAACACAAATATGAAACAGCTATTTTTAAGTTCTCCCCCTGTTGTGGGGTCTCCGGACCCCCCCTTTTTTATTAATCCTCACTTGAAGTTATTTTTCCAATGAAATTTAGAAAGAATGGAAGAGACAATCACAATTATGTAAATGAAAACATCGATGTGAAAGAGACATACATCGATTGGTTGCCTCCCACACTGGCCCTGATCAGGGCCAGGGATCCAGCCTTGCAACGAGGCACAGGCTCTCGACAAAACCCGGGACTGAAGGGGACCCTTCAGCCAGCAGGCTCTACCCACTGAGCCAAACCGACTAGGGCTCAGGACCCTTTTTACTTTCTCATTCCACCAAGCTTCAATGTGAAGTCACTGAATGTGAAGCTGGAAAGAGATGCATGCAATAGCATACCATTTTATGGTATCTCCACCAAAAATAAAAAATAATTTCATTTTAAAATATTGGCTCTCTAATAATCAGCTTGCAAAAATTCCCAAAACTTTTAACAATCTGTTCTCACAAATCAGTACAAGCTGCCCCCAGCACACCAGGGGCTGTAACTATCAATATGTGTTGTATTAGAAATTATAACTCAAAAATCTTAAAATATTTATCATTAAGAACTATAAACTCATTACACATTTACCTAAGAAACATTTAATGAGAAAAAACAACAACAAATATCTTCTCACCAAGTTAGTGAGAAGTGAAGTATTGTTTTATATTTTTTGCAAATCTCTTTAATGACTATCTTAACAGAAGACAGCTGGATTCTCTTAGCTTCTTCTGTATTCAATCTGTTGCAATATGCTGTTTTGGTTGAGGAACATGAAGAAGATCAGGCATCACACAATTATATAAATGAAAAAGAAAGGAGTACTTTCATAGCCTTTTCAGATAACTAGGTATTTTTTTATATTTCACCAAAGAATGGTAAGTTTTTAAAGGTTAGTTGCAATGTAGAATCTGAAACCATATAAATAAAGCTTTACATCATTCACATTTGGAAAATATTGGTTCACTGTTCAGCTGCTCTTGTTGACCTAACAGCTCACTTAGATCACTTTTGAGAATATACCTGCCAAATACTCAAACCTAAATAATCAGTTTGTCTGTCAGTCATTCTTTCAAGTAAGAATGTTCCATGAAAAAAGCAGTAGTTCAAGTTGCAATTCAAACAACTGCAGAAGTATTTTTCCTCCAGACAATCATTATATTTGGTATACAAGAAAAGTGCTGTATACATGCTTCCCATTTCATTACACAGAATATTAAAAGGATGTATACTCAAGGATTAGAATTTAATATTAATAATTTCTACTTTTTCACCAAGAGATTAAGTGAAACTGGCATTTTTTAAAATATAAAAAGTACCACTTAGTACAGTTTGGTGCCACTGTCTTGATTTATGCCAAGACACTAAACTGCTTAGGTCCTGGTTTTAGTCAATAATGCTTTTGTACCACCAGTGCAAATGTCAATACAGTGAAAAAAGGCAAATGTCTCAGTATTGGTATGAACACAGTTTTGATCACATTGAACCCCTGAAAGGGTCTTAGGGACCTTAAGGGGTTTTTGAACCACTCTTGAGTCCTTAAGTACCTCTATTTAATTCCTAACCCTGACCTAGAGGTAACCACTGATAACAGTGTGGTACATAATCCTTTGACATAACAGACACACTTGCATATATGTACTTATTGCAACATACATTATTCTGTAACGTCATTTGGTCTACCTTATTCTTTAACAGGTATATAATACTCCAGAGTCTAGCTAAACCATAATTTGCTAACCATTTCCTCTATTGGGCATTCAGGTTATCTCCTTAAAAATGGTGCTGCAATCAGTCAGTATCTTTGTACAAATATCTTTGCTGCATTAATGCTGAAGCCATTTTGATAATTAAAACAAACCTGTTTAACAATTCTTTTTTAGAACTGGAAATTTGTTTTTTAAAAAATAACATATATTTTTAAAAAGTATGCAAGAATGCTGTTTACAGGTGTTGAATGCCAGTTGTATGTGAAATTACTGGCAGCTTTGTGTATTTAAGAACAATTTCAGCTCAACATCCTATCAATACAGATGACAAAGTTAAAAAAAGAAAAAAAAAAAAGCACCATTACCCTCTCCTAGTGTTTACCACAGGAACATTGTTAGCATGCTACAAAGGCCATCAAAATTTAAACTATTATCAACACAGACCCTATGATCTAGGCTTAAGGCTCTATAGCCAAATATTAAGGTAATAGAGTGGCAACAAGGGTGATCAAGCTGATGGGAAGAGAAAGTCTTGTAAACTCAGTAGCAGTATTTAATTTTAATTTGACCTATTAACAATAAAAAACAGTTTTAAGTAGATACACTGGTGTTATAATTTCCTACTTTTGTTGTTGTTATTAATCCTCACCCAAGGATATTTTTCCACTGATTTTTAGGGAAAGTGGAAGAGAGGGAAAGAGAGAAACATCAATGTGAGAGACATTGGTTGCCTCCTGCAAGAGCCCCCACCAGGGCCCAGGCCGGGGGTATGTGCTTCTGATCGGAATCGAACCTGCGACACTTCAGTCTGCAGGCCGAGCCAAACGAATTAGGGCATAATTTCCTACTTTTTAAAAAGCCTCTTAACACTGTAGAAAACATAAGGAGAATGACTTACCATCTTCAAAGGGTGTCCCTTCTGGTCTGAAAACAAGAAAATTTCTGATTAAAACACGTTTTTCATTCTTTTGTTCTGCCTTTTCCTGATTTTCAAGAGTGGAAAGGATAAACTCAAACAGAAAGAGGGGCTCATCCTGACAATTTGCGGAGTTTTTAAGATAGTGTTAACTTAGTATCATCTTAGGCCTAAATGGTAACTTTTATTTTCTAAGTTTTCCTCTTAGGGTAGCTTTACACACACACACACACACACACACACACACACACACACAAATGTATCATAATTTTAGCACAAAAAGAATTCAGCTCCCAAATACCAACAAGTTATTTTGTAAATATGTGCATTCTTAAGAGAAAAGGTCCTATTTTAATTTACATCAGTAAGATGGAAATCAATACCCTTTAGTTTAACTATGTTACCAAAGCAGCATGTTCTGCTTTTTAAAAAAATCCTCACCCAAGGATATGATGTTCATTAATTTTAGTGAGGAAGGGAGAGAGACACATTGATGTGAGAGAGGAACTTCGATTGGCCGGGCCTTTAAGAGCCTTGACTGGGGATGGAACCTGAAACCTAGGTATGTGCTCTGACTGGGAATCAAACCCACAACCTGTTATGTATTGGATGATGCTCTCAGCCTCTCTGCTAGGGCAGGTGTGTTCTATTTTTCAACAGAGCAATTTCCAGTTCAAACTGGATAGACATAACTAAATCAAGAAAGCCAGTTTCTTTTGCTCAAATCTTTTCCTGGCCTCCACACCCCAATTTCATTTTTCCTAAGCAGCAGCATGAAGTTTAATTATTACTTGCAAGGCATATTCAGGTCTCAAAGAAGCATGTTCACAGCCTGAATTTAAAATAGTAACTTTAGAAGGAGAACTACCCTCTTTTTCCCACAAGTTTTTAAGGTAGACTCTTACTTATAACTAATTCAGAGGCAACTCGGAATTGTTTATGAAAATATTCCCCTTTAAAATTAAATATTTAGCACAAAACCCTAGTTTTTAAAAAAGAGTGAAATAAAAAAAGATCAATTCTGAGAAAACCAAAGAAAAGGCATAAGGAAATTTTAAATTAAAAAGCATATATGCAATATATATGTAGAATGTAAGACTGCATCTCAAGACTTCATTCAGCTACAGGCATACTCATTTTATTGCACTTCACAGATGTTGCCTTTTTTTATGAATTGAAAGTAAGACCCTCCACCAACCAAAAAAAAAAAATTGCTTTATTGTGGTAGTCTGGAACCAAACCCACAGTATCTCTGAGGTATGCCTGTATTTCATACTAGGCTATGGAACGTTTTTCATTTAAAATCTTGCCATAGTCTAAGTTCTCAATGTTTTTTGTTCCTAGCCTTTTTATAGTTCTAATAGAATACAAGCATAAACACTTGCTTGGCACATTTTGTATAAAATCATTTATCTCTTCTTCTTTAGTTTCAAATGGTATTTTTATAAGGTAAAACCCAAAGTTGTTATAAAATCTTATGTATTTTTAAAAAATATATTTTTATTGATTTCAGAGAGGAAGGGAGAGGGAAAAATAGAAAGATCAATGACGACAGAATCATTGATTGGCTGCTTCCTGCACGCCCCCTACTGGGGATCGAGCCCGCAACCTGGGCATGTGTCCAGACTGGAATCGAACCCGGGACCCTTGAATCCACCGGCTGATGCTCTATCCACTGAGCTAAACCAGCTAGGGCTATAAAATCTTATGTATTAATTGCAAAATGCAAATAAATTTTATGTAACCAATAAAACTTTTATGGCAATGTTTTTTCTAATTGACCTTGCAGTTTCTGTGAGGTCCCCGTTCAACCTCAGTCTCTTTTCCTAGTTGCTCATTTTTAAAAACTCACCACACCTATCAGTTGTTTTATCTTTCAACTCACCCAAATATAACTGCATTCCACTGCATGATGTTGTTTTCAGATGGTGCGCCACTGACACCCACAGGTGGGTCCTCTTGCAATCTAGAAATCCATAGTAGTAATTTTAAAAGTTGAACATTTGGGCCACTAAAAAGGCCAAATAGAACACCTATAGACTCTATACTCTCTGCTCTGAGACACAAACAAAACCTATTTCCTTGTTTTTATGCTGAGCTGGAATAAACCATCTGACAATAAAAAAAACTCGCCCAGGTACATACTTATTAGATACCACTACAAATCATCTAGAATGCTAAAGGGCTTGGGAGTATCCCTCTTCAATTACCATCAAGATTAAGATATCTTTCAACAACTAACATATGTATAGGCTGCCCTCAACCAAAAATAAAACAACATTTTAACAGAACCATCAATTTTGCTGCTGTAATGCAGACTGAGTGCTAAGGATGGCTATTTGTGCAACATGGCCACCAAACCTCCTCCTCCTCAAAACAGAAAAATCCTCAGCGTGACCACTAAAGGACTGAAAACACTTGATTCAATTTGATTAGGAAAGTAGTTTCAGGCAGGAGAGCTACTTTATCCCATTTGCTTCAATTAGCAATGGCTTTCAGAGTAATCAAAATTGCTTGGTTTCCCGTCAGTCCTTATTTTAAAGGCGCTGCACGAACACTAAAACTACCTCTGAGAGCAGGAGACTCGATACAAAACTATCTTCCAACATCTGTCAAATTCTTGTAACCTGAAGACCCTTGGAAAATTACCAAAGGTACCCTGTGTCCAATGCAGAATAAAGCAGAGAATCACAGCAAATCAGGGTAACAATAGGCACGAACTGGAAGTTTTATTATTTGAATTTCACTCATCTGAATTTCAGCTAATTTGAAATCTAGTGATTTCAAGTTTTAGAAGATGACTTTTACATGAAATAGGGCATCTCCTTTCAAAGACTCAGTAAAAAATAAACGCTGTATTTTCTCTCTCTATATATATATGTGCAGTGATTGTCATGTGGTATGATACTTTCAAATCAGTCCACATAAAGACAGTTATTTTTAGTCAGCCTCAAGAAGACTGGGCCACGAACAGAAGCCTTACAGGGATGATGATGCTGGACGCCCACCAAAGGTAACCGGCTAAGAGAAGTGACAAATATATTCAATAATGATAAACTGGTCAAAGCCCAAAACAATGGCTTCCAAAGCCTCACCTACGATTTTATCATGGCCAAGTTGGGAGGTCACTTCCTGAGCCGCTGATCTAAGTTTCTATACTACAAATTTCGTCTCGATCAGGGCAGGTCTCAGAAAAACAGAGGATCGCAATGCCAAGTTTTCTATTACTTTCCCCCCACCGTACCTCAAAGTAAAAGGTAAACAACTGGAAAAAAAAAAAAAAAAAAGGTCCCTTCCTCCTCACCACCCCCCACATCTCCTAACAAAACCCTGTTTTACAAAAGGAGGCCCTGGGAGGATCAGGTTAGCGCCTGCCTCGGGGAAGGCATTCTTCCAGACTTTGGAGACTATAGATAGGGCTTTATGCACCAGGCCCCGGAGCGGAGTTCCAGAAGGTCCTGGCAGCCGGCGCTGCCAGCTCGGTCCCAGGCCTGAGCCAGTTCTCAAGGTCCTGGCCGGCCAGCCGGCGGGGGAGGGGGGGAGTCGGGTTTCGGGGGATGGGTTAACCACCTCCGACCTCCCGAGGCAGACCCCACCCTCCCTGCAGAAAGCTTCGCCTCCACCCTGCCCCTCCGAGGAGACCGCAGGCCCGTCGAACAAAGCTCACTGGTGGAGTCAGCGAGGAAAAAGCTTCTGCAAGGGCTCCCTTTTGGGGTCTCGAGAAGGGGTACCGTACCGCAGGGTGCAGGCGCGGGGGTAAGGTTTCAACGGCAGGGCTACAAGTCAGGCAGCTGGCCCAAGCGGGCAGCGGGGAATCCTAGGTGCACACAGCCTTTTTTTTTTTTTTTTACTTTTGGGGAGGGAGGGATAGCGGACCACTCCGCTATCCGAATAGCGAACGGGGGTCTGAACTGGCCCCACGTCGCTCCCGGGGGGTCCACAGCCGGCCCTCTGAGGATCCCAAGAGGAAGGTGTCCCGGATCCGCGTCCGGTAGGCCCGCAGCTTCGGGGAGGAGCCGTCGTCCAGGCGGAGGGGAAGGGCCTTACCGCTTGAAATCCCGCATGAGCCTCCTCCGGGCGGGGGTCGACATGCTCCACAGCTGCCCCGCGGTCCGTCTGAAAGAAAAGAGTCCCGCGCGGCCCCCCCACCCCCCGGCGCGGCGGCCGAATCACTGCGGGTCACCGCCACGGAGGCTGCACAAACAACCCCGCAATGACGTCTCCCTCCGCCGCCTCCAGATCCCTCCGCCCTCCGCCAGTACCACGGCGCGAGGGGGGGAGGAAACGGGGAGGGCACGGGTGAGAGCTCCTGCGGTAGCTTTTCAACAAGGTCCTACCATTGGTGCTCCCTGAACTAATTGGAAAATGAGTATTCTCTGTGTTCAGACTAGATAATAGTGGGTTAGGAGACAACAAAGCCGAAACACCACCCTGATGCGTCCCCTTTCACTAGGTTAGGTCCGACCGAGTGGGGAGAGGGGGACGCAAGCGGGTTGGAGATTTCAGGCGAAGGAGGTGGGATGACGTAAGGTCACGTGATCTACCGGTGGCGATGTCAACAATCCACCCCTGAGGGGGAGGTGGCGAAGTATCCAGAACCACGTGCCCCTATGACGTGATTAGAACTGGTAAAGCGAGGGCTACGCTGCACCTGAGTCTCGGCCAGGTATTTGAAGCAGGTAGTTAAACTGACCGGATGGGCATACACCTGTATTAGTTTTCCAAACATTTGGTCCCAGGATCAGGGAGGGCAATGGGAGAGGAAGAGGTTCTGGGAAGCGAAGCATGTTTTGCTTAAGTCTCTTTAACACAGAGCTAAAAATAATTTGGAATTGTAATCTCCTTTGGTTGGTTCAAAAGCTTATCAAATCTAGTACATAAAGTGATGGGACCACCATTTTTTTTTATTGCGGTATTGAATGCTGAGACCCATACAAAGTAAAATCCCCTGAATATAAAGTAAAATCTTCCTTAGGGGCACCAGATTGCCTGTGTGTGCATTGCAGTGGGCTTTCCAGGGTTGGAAATTATGGGCAAAGGTAAAAGAATGGTGTAGAATGTAGATTCAGATCTGGGGAACAGATCATGGCGACATGGATGGGGATTTTATATCTAGCCTGGATAATTCATTTCAGGTCTTCCACACTAGCTTTTTTGATGCAGATGCACCAGAAATGCTCCCCACAGCTTCAGGGAGGGCAGGGAAGGGGTGGGAGAGCAGCTCAAAGTTATTGACTCTTGTAGAGGACCCTGAACCTTTTCATATATATTAGGGTAATTCTTCAGCCCAAACCAGAATGAGAGGATAGGATGAGGGCCTTAGCATTGCCCCAAACTGCCCATAGTTCAATGGAACCAGAGAGGGTTAACTTTCCCCACTTTCCTGGTATCTCCTGGACAAAAAAGGAGCCACATACTAAAACCGACAAACTTAGGGGAGGCCTGCATGGCAAGCTTTACAAGCTCAGAGACCTAAAGTAGCCATATAGGATGGTCTGAAATGAAAACTACCTAACTAAAAGGGAGCCATGGAAGGTAGTCATGTCCTATTGTCTTTTTGCATCTATGATAACATACCTTTGTTATGTCAGAGTAAACCCCTTTTTTCCAGACCCCTGGGGCATAATCTCGCACCAGAACTTGAGACCACTGAACCCCTGTTGTTATCTTTTCTCCACATACCATGATAAGTGTTCATTATCCTGAACCCACCAATGTAAAAGAAGTATTTGAGTCTCTGGTATACTTTTTATCCAATCTCAGAGATTTCCTCAATCTGAGTTCTACCATCTCCCTAATCACCAATGGATTTCATATAACCCCCTTACATCTTCTCCTTTGATTCTGATGTATAAAATAAATGGTAAAACTGCCATTTTTTTCGGGAGCATTTTCTCAATCTGATAAGAGATTTTGTTTCCTGGCAATTGTCGGTTTGTCTCAAGTAAATTCATAAAAATTCTGTACAGGTTTGGATGTTTCTTATGTCAACACTCCCTTTTTTCAAACCCTGACTATCTCTTGCTTTTAGTAACTGCCTTTGTGATCAAGTTAGCCAGACCTAACTTTTGATAGGTCCTGCTGTGCATTCACAAATGTGATTCTCTAAATCAAAAGTTGAATATCCTTATTTTTACTTTTTTGCCTTCCTGCCATAGCAATCCTAATCCTCCTATTACCAAGGATGAAGACACACTGGTAGGGTTACATGCCATGAAATACTAAAGAGAAACTTCAAAAAAAAAGTCTGTTATGTCATTTATCTAGCCATTTGTCAACATAAGAGACATTCAAACGTGTGAAGAATTTTTGTGAATTTATTTGAGCCAAACTGTCAACAATTGCCAGAAAACAAAATCTTGAGTCTGGTTATCTGGAATTTTCTAGTCAAGGCTGCTTCTGGCTGAGGTTGAAACTGCAATTAGATGAGGTATTAAATCTAGGTTTGGTATCATGGGCTTTTAGCACAAGTAATAGCATTTGGGGCCTATGGTTCACAGTAGATAGTTTCTTTTTTAACGTATCTTTATTGTTGAAAGTATTACAGATGTCCTCATTTTCCCCCCCATTGACCCCCTCCATCCCACTCCTGCCAGTCTCCCCAAGCATTCACTGCACTGTTGTCTGTGTCCATGGTTATGCATATATGCATGTAAGTTCTTTGTTTAATCTCTTCTGCCCCCCCCCCCTTTAAAAGTTATAATTTTATACTGTAGTGATTCTGTAGCTCTAGATTATGAGATCACTGAGGGCAAGGACTCTGATTCATGCTTTGTCCCTTGCAATTATTTAGTCCACAACAAATATTTAATAAATATACTTATAAAGTCTGAGCCCACTATGACATTCTTATTCATAGATACAAAGTATTTTATAACAGGGTTCAATAACTTTTTTTTTTTTGGTTAGTCCTCACCCGACGATATTTTTTCCATTGATTTTTAGAGTGGAAGAGAGGAGGGGAGAAGATAGAAACACATCGATGTGAGACGTAGATTGGTTACCTCCCTTGCACCAGGTCCCAGGATCGAACCTGCAACCCAGGTATGTGCCCTTGATTGGGAGTCAAACCCAAGACACTTCTGGGCCGACGTTCTAACCAGAGCCACACTGAATAACTTTTTAAATGGAAAAAATTCTCAATATTTTGGTAGTGATAAACAAAAACTATCAGGGGCAGAAATATTAATCATGCTCTGTTAACCATGATTGTTCTATTCTGATTGGAGAAAGCACATTCTAAATGGCTGAGAGTTGTACACCCTGGGACATGGGAGTTAACCTGGGAATTCGGTCCATTCATCAAAGAATTAACAACCGAGTTGAAACAATAGAGTCCACCCTTCCAAACCCCCTCATTGCCTGTAACTAGTAACCATTATAACCATTCTTATTCCTTTTGCCTACTTCCCCATGCCTGTAATTCCTTTTGCCCACTTCCCCATGTAATTTTTGTCCTTCTAACCAACATAAGCAGAGCAGATTTTCATGGATGACCTGCTGCTCTCCCATACTGTGGCATTATTAGAATAAACACTCACATGATTCAACTCAGTCTCTGCTTAATTGGATCAAGTAGTGATAGGCAGCCCGGATCCATCAGTCCCAGCCCGGATCCATTGGTTGTCCAGTTTCAAAACCATGACCATTGCCTGACTGGCATGCTCAGTGGTTGGATGTTGACCTATGAACCAGGAGGTCACTGTTCGATTCCCAGTCAGGGCACATGACGGGTTGCAGTCTCGCTCCCCACTGGGGGATGTGCAGGAAGCAGCTGATCAATGATTCTCTCTCATCATTGATGTTTCTATCCCTTTCTCCCTCTTTCTTCCTCTCTGAAATCAATAAAAAATATATTAAAAGAAAAAGACAACCATGACCACCTCTCCCTCCCTTCCCACTCCTCTCTCAATATAAATTTGAGCAGCATTGAAACATTTCAGAAGCTTTAAAAATACCAATTCCTTTACCATTTCTCATTTAAATTAGGATCTCTGGGGTGGAACCTTTTTAAAAGCTCACCAGATATAATTTTAATATGCATGGTGAATGGGACCAACTGGGCTCGAATTTACTGGATAATGGTATTTCCTCATTTAGGGAAACAGTGAGATTTGGCCCTTTAACATTTAAATTTACTTTTACAGACAAAAATAAATGAAATCTCTAAGAAAGAGGGCACTTGCTCCAGTGATATCCTTGTTATTCACTGGAGGCTGGAAGGCCAGCAGGACCTCATTCTAGTATTAAGCAATTAGCTAACAGCTTTCCCCCTATACCCTTGTGTGTTAACCCATGTGTGGTAGAACCCGTTGAAATATTTGCTTTCCCCAAAAGGAAGTTTTCCAGTTTTGACACACAGTTTTCTTAAAAAGGATTACTATGAGCTTGAAAAAAAATTTTTTTAAGCGTATTGCAGAAATGTTCTTGATGTAAGAAGCGTCTTCTCTCCATTTTAAGGATGAAATGTGGACAGCTGAACTCAAACTCGTCTATGGAGTATTTACATAACTAGGTAACTTAGAAAACTACAATCACACTAGACTTGCTCGGAAGTCTCCTTTTACAAGAAGTCTCTACTATTTAATGACACCTGCCGTCCTTTTAGGACCCAGCGGAAGCTCAGGTGTTCTCTAGCCTGGGGACATACGCGAGGCCGGTGGGACAAGCCTCCGCCGCGGTTCCTCTCTCCTAGTGTATTTGCAGTCACTCACGCTGCCGTCTGAATTGCTGATGCATTCCCCCCCCCCCCCCTTTTCCCCCTAAAATCAATTTTTCCACTCTAAATCAGCTTTGCGAGGAGAACCCAATTTGATCCTTGGCAACCACTAATCCCCACCTCCACCCCTAAACGAGCTTCCGTTGAGAGCACACCGGGAGCTAGTCTTTTCCGCTACTTCTCATTTTCCTTCCGGGTCAGGCCAGTCCGGCCTGTGTTCCGGTCTTGCGCACTACGTTCCGAGCGCGAGGCCGGCGGCACCGTTGCCATGGTAGCGGGTGGTGGAGAGCTAGTGGGACCAGCGGCCAAAGTAGAACTGGGACTACGCGGGGCCGGACCATCGGGACCACAGAATGGGCTGAGGCGGTGGCGGCTGCCCGGACGAGGTCGTCCGCCGGGCGTAGGGTGCGACACTGACCCGGGACCCTAAGATATCTGCTTTGAGGAGTGGGCTGGACCGAGGTTTTCTTGGGTCCCGGGGACTGACCTGCGGGCCACTGCAGTATT